TTATTTGTACTGAGCCGCCATGGTGTCTATCGAAATGAACAAGCCTTGCTACATTTTAATTTTGTTGTTGTTGACCTGTCAATCACGCCTTTGATAATTACCGGGTTGTTGCCAACATTTTGAACAGATGAAGTAAATTTCAAAACAAACTGCCTGACCAATAGTAACGACTTATCAACATCTGACTGCAGTTCTTCGTGTAATCAAGGGGTGAAAGGGGTGTAAGCAACACTTCCACATTAAACCGGCTGACACTTTGAATTAATGAATTCCCGTTCAGTGCGAGATCTCGCGTGTTGTGTGAAAGGCGCGGGCCAAACGTCTACCGCAAAAATCGAACGATTTGATTTTGAATTTCTGTTTTTATACTCAATGTAAAAATGTCGATCTTCGAGAGGGGAATATTTAGATTAGATACCCTTACCTCACCAAGATTGACCATCATCAAATATGTATAGCGCCCTATTGAGCGTGAAAATATCCCCAACATAATTTTGCGTTTGTGAAAGTGTTCGTTATATACAAAATGTATTACCTCACACCTCCATTCTACACCCACGCTCTTAGTCCCAGAATTGAAACACTCAAGTTGGTGTCTAATAATTATCCGGTGATTTTTTTTTCAATCGCAGATTGGCAAATGGCGAAAGTCCTGATGCTGTTTGCCACGCACTGACATTCTGCACAACAGACCCGCCAAACCCACCGTGTAAACTGTATCCCCAACCCCGAGGGGGACTGGAAGCCGGCATCAAACGAAGCAAACTCCGAGCGATGAAATATACCAGTAACCTAAGGGTACCGTACCACTTTCTCTCTCTCTCTCTCTCTCTCAAATCCAACCATGGGGTGGCGCTGTTCTCAGCTCCCACGGAAAACGCCACCACCGTCAACTCTGATTATTCAGATTACCAACAACATTTAAATATTTAGTTTCTTTTTTTAATTTCTAGAGATTTATTTTATTACCGAATTGTTAGCTCATAGAATGCTGGACATCATGAAATATTTATTCTTTGTTATCCTTGTTTTACAGGAACTATTGGTGAACTCTGACATTTGTAACATGTTACCCGGATTGAAACAAATATGTGAAATGATTGAAGGGTGAGTCTTAATCTTTACATAGCTTGGTGGCGCTCGTCACTCGTTCTTTATGCGCATAGAAATAATAAGACAATTGAAAATAATCAATAAAATATGTTAAATATTATACGCCTATCTATAACTTGTTTAATCGGTTTTTATTCTGTACGCAGTAAGCTAAATAATCACGAACCAGTGCTGGATATCGACAAAGACGGATTCAGTATAATAGACGTAAGTAACATGCATATGCGTAATATTCGGAATATATGTCGATTAAACGAGTGACAAAGTGACAAAATCGTTTAACCAAAGATGACTACTTGCAATATTTCGCCTTCTGTGCGATATCTACACTGATCTTATATTGTTTCACTGGTACATTATTCCACGTTCTAGAGTCTCCGAGGTTCATCGTGGCGCGGTAAAGATTGCGATGACAGTCGTGCTGCAGTACACCCCGGTGCAAGGTAAAGCAGATTTCCACCCACTCACCTCGATTCACAAAGTCAAATGTCACATGATAATCGTACGTCATCAAATCTGACATTGTTCATAGCTAGTTGTATTTTTCGTCGCTGGAGAGCCCTCTAAACGTCTATTACGTCACGAATTCATAAGGACATGTTCGATTTTTAAAAAATGCAGAAATTCTGAAAATTTTAGCACGAACCTTTGACCGTGCGCGCCGAAAACATGTAACTGTAAACGAAACTACTACAGATTACTGGCGTAATAGAAGAGTCTGAGTAGTAAAGGAAGAGAATAACAAGAAATTGATAAAGATTTACTACTCAGACTATCGATCCAGTAGAACACCAGTTCACCGTGTCAACTCTCCCCCCAAAAATATACAATATATTATTACACGTGGTGTGTTTCCAATAAACGTAAAATATTGTAGACTGAAATTCTGTTCTTTTTACGCAGACCAGTTGACTGGGATAGATATGAAGACTCCAATTGTAACGGCATTTATGTAAGTTAAACGCGCAATACGCATAAACTAATTGCATGATTAACACATGTATAGCGTGTATATGCTTATCCACATAATACTATGTACTTCTCCAAAATCTCTGGCCACATTGATTCTATATTTCATTGAAGCATTGTTTTTTTTAAAACTGCTTTATATTATACCGTTTTATATTCCCGATATTTACCATGTGGTTATATATTGCTTGGAAGTCCATCTTCCACGCGGCAACAATCATAGTCATATGCCTGTATTGTGATTCAACAGACCCAATCACGGATCCCAGCACAAGTCTTAAGTCAATGATGTCATGTTTTACTTCAAACTAATTACATGCCCCACACATAGCAAATTTATATTACTACCTAACTTACTTCGCATAATACTTATATTCATACATGTAGGGTGTCGATCCTGTCAGTGGGAAACCATATGAACAATTATTCTGCGGTGACTCCAAACCAATGGGCGTAGGTCTTTTGGGAGATTCAGCCGGTGCACACTTCCATATTCCTGCTGAATGGGTTACTCCAACCGTCATGGGCTTAGTAAGTGGATATATTATTAACAATGTAACAGTATTCATATTTAGACATCGTGAAAAAAAAAGATCGGCCCGCACTATGTTTTGGAATGCACACGCTGACTAGAAGCCTATTGTTGCTAGAACTTAAAAAGTATTACGATATCAAAATAAGATATACGTTCTATGAGTTCAAACCTCCAACTCGTTTCCACGACAGATTGTTGTCGACCGAAAACTGATAGTTGTCGCCCTGGCTATAAATGTACATATAATATCACTTCCAAGTTATCGTTTCTGTGATTATTGCCATGTTTTTTTGTTATCACTACAATATATTTCAAATTCCAGGACATGTTCGCAAATATCACATTTGTAGCCGGCAATGAGCTGGATTGGCCGTCCATGTCAGGAACTACCGGTGAGTCAACAGCAAATATAACGCTAGAGGGCGTTGTTCAATGACTGTGATTGGTTGTTTTCGTAATATCGAGTACGGAGTAAAGAAGTATAGTTTTATCTCTGCAGGTTATCAGAATTTGACCTGGCCAACAGTCCAGTGAGTATGTATTTTGTTTTTTCCGGAATTGGACGGGGTTACTCCAATTAGGTGATGTACACACCGTCTGATTTTTTCCAGGCCGTTAGAGCTCTAGAGATTGCATGCATTTAGGGTTGCTAGGAGTGGATCGGACAACATGAAATTCTGCAAAGCCCCGGGGTTTCCTATACAAATGTTTTGTATAGATTTACTTCCCATCAACCTTTGACCCAGCAAACCAAACCAAATTCTATTTCTTTCCAGTGGGTGGACTGATTCCGCGTATTTGCGATTACGTCAGCGAAATCTGTGCAACCACCGGGATTATCAGAACATAGCTGTTAACGGTAAGAATTATAACGATGAGATATTTGCTAAAAATAAAAATATATTCCGAGTTTTTATGGATTTATCAATATTGTTGGGGGCGGCAATTTGTGTGTCTATGTTCAGAGGCATATTGAGTTATGTTTTATTTGTTTAATGAATTGGTTAGACTGGCACAGTCTGCAGCTGGTGATTTATTTCTTTTTAAACTTAAAATCAAATAAAAAAAAATAGCGAAATGGAGGTGTTAACACGAAATCCCATGTAACCGCGAAATCTCCCAGACTGGACGTTTTTGCCGCGCCCTCTGTGGTGAAAGCAGGAACTATAATGTGTTTTCCTTCTCGTGTTTATGTTAATGAGCAGAATGACAGGCAAGAACGTTATCCAATCAGAGTAATTTGACCTTTAAACTATATCTAGTTAACCTTTGTACGCGAAGACTTCACTTTTCTTCAAGTTTCCCGATCATCAATCATAACAAACGAATTACTATTTATAACGTTCCGTACAAATTATTCTAATGGAGAGAAGTAGCCTGCGTGTAGCTTTATCTCGCCTGGGTTACAGTGAAGCGCGATCTGCACAGAAGACCCACAATGTTTATGCAGCGTGCACGCCCCCACTCCTTTTCTGTATCCGTTCAGTGATGTCACTGCATATCATGAATAAATAGTAGCAACAGATTCGCTGCAAATAAGGCCAGTCTGTGGTGGTTTCGCGTATTCACCCCACCTTTCGCAAAACTATTTTTTTCCAATTTTTGTAACTGAAAAAAATCACCACAGCTGGGCCAGTCTATGAAATGGTGTACTGTACGAATGTGCACACTGTTTTTATTTAATTGTACGTACCACTAAATCGGAGTGCACGAGCGAATGCGTAGTCAAATTTTCCATTTTGTGAAAAAGAAGAACGTTTTGTGTACGATATTAACCTGATATGTGCATCGCCTTGCAATATTGAACGAATAAACTGAAAAATAATCATTGTAAACCATAATTTGTTAAGTGATGAATGAATCACGTGCATGAAAAGTCACGGGGTCCATAACATATTAGTTATTATTTTCACGCTGCTGCTTTTCTGATAAATGTCAACCTCACTGTCTGGAACATGTTGCTGTTTTGCTCTTCTATATCATTATACGCTGCTTTGTATTGAATAATTATTGGATCCACAAAAAACAAGCTTCTCAGACAAGTATCAATTTATCAAAACAATAAACACTGCATACCAGTGCAATATACGCGTCATTTCATGGTAATATTCAGGCGTCCGATGTCGTATTTGCTGACTTCAACGTGTATCCATGACAACACAATAACCATCACACTACCATTCCAACGGTGCTAATATTGCTCACTTCTAGGGGCTCGGGCTAGCAGTGCCAACAGTACTCTTTCCAGAAGGTCAGTTCACCCAAATACATTAAGAACAATGTATAAACCGATAAAACCCAATAATCATAAAATTTCAATTTATCCAAACTTTTGACAGGCGGGGATTCTGGTAATACTAATGACAATGCAAAAAGGTTTGTGAATATTTCGTTAAATTCTGCGATGCGTGCGACTTTACTTATTCTACTAGAAATACTACATCTGAAAAAAAACAAGTATTACTTGAACTAAAATTGTTATTTTCTACCGAGTGTTGTGTTGCTGAGTTCTGTTCCCCGCGATCATCACCAGAAGTTATAAAATATTCAAAAAATAGCCGGTATACTAGTTTTCAATTTCAGCATTCGTGATATCAACTACAATTACACGACATTTGCCATTAGCCCCATTTTCAAACATAACTCGACAGTATACACACGTATTACATCATGATATCTTTCAATCTTACAGTTTATCTCGTAATCAAACATCGGATTATCCAATGATTCTTTTTTATTCGTTGATCGGAAATGACGTATGTAACGGGTAAGTGTCTGATCACGTGATAATTCGGGTTATATATCTTTGTATATCACATTGTAATATCACACTTACAACAGTTTAATTTGATTAAACCTTTCTAATATTTGGTCAAATTGATGCCGTGTGGCGTCGATTGGAGTAAAACACGCAGTACATGTTTACTCTGTTGGACAAATTATTAACCCTGTCGTGTAATTAGTGATAATTCGGTGAATGTATTGACAAAAAGTAATTTACGGTCTGGTAGTTGATTTAGTTTGTAAGGTCGCTCAATTCCAGGGAGTATTTCTGTCAATAATCGCGACATCGCCGATTTTTGTCACTAGCTTTATAAATTTTATTTTTATATGTAGTCACCCGGACACCATAGAGCACATGACAACGCCCGAAGTCATGAAAGCCAATGTCATCGACACATTAGCTTACCTGGTAAGTAACCTGACATTGATGGGGATGGGGGGGCACTTTGTTATGCTATAACGTAAAAGGTGTCATCTGCGATACCGTTTTTGTGGAAGGGGATCGTAAGTAATAATATATGCATGTCTATACATTACCATGCTGTTCAAGAAAACCAATATAAATTTTTCTAAAATCGCGGATTTTCATAGAACAGATATTCATTCCTCAATTACAAAAAAATGGCTCCTTCCACAGCTGTCTATTTTCCAACTATTTCTCAACGCCATTTTCTGATTGACGGCAAATTAGTAAACAATTTCTTAAGATCAACATTTATAACTGCATCGTTGTCGTTACTTACTTGGACCGCATTGTCAATTGTACATTTAGGACACCGTATTGCCAGCTGGGAGCGCTCTTATAATGACCGGATTGGCTGATGGGAGAGTCCTGTGGAAATACATGAACAGTAGATACCACCCCCTGGGCGAATTGCGTGGTGACGTCACCTATGCTGACTTATATGCCTACCTGATGTGTTTACAAGTCTCGCCATGTAATGGCTGGATGTCGTCCAATGAGACGCTGCGTAATTTCACGTCAGAGGTGAGAACGACCAATAAGAATAGACCTTTCAACCATGACAGTTTCAAGAATACGAGTCACGCGTTCGTCTTCGTTTTTATATAATGTTTTGATATGTTTTCTTGTTTTCTCTTCGCAATACCAGATAGTCTGCGGTTAACGAAAGCGTGCATATTACTTGTAAATTAATTACTTGTACTTTTGTTTTTCATGTCCGGTTTTGACACTAGAGGGCGGCAGCTCTGAGTAAAGTTTTGCAAGATCTGGCATCAACGAGAACTTATAAAAACTACAAAATACATTATATGGACTTTGCCTTGCACACAGGTAAATTGCTCGCGGTTTGTACACGCAACGACTTTGGGGTTGGGTGGTTAATTAAAAGCCGTGCAATTTTTTATCCTATGCAATACATGACCCAACACTTACATTTTTTTAGATTGATAAAGAAAAATATTTTATACTTTACCTCGGAAATGTCTTTGCTGACCACTTATCAAGTGTCATCCATAGCAACTTTAGCGGAAAAAAGTCAGTGACCCTCTTTGTTATGGTTTGTCTTAGTTATATCCTTTTTCAATCTCATATTTATCTCAAACAATCCACTGAGCAATTTGCTTAATCCAATGGATATGCATTTTATTTCATCACAGTAATCGACGAATGGGTCGCCCAAGGTGGGAAACCATGGGACTTGATCGAACCAGTGGACGGGTTCCACCCCTCACAGGTATGCAATATATATTTCGTGCACGGTATTTTATTAAATTACCAGGTCGTCTATAAGTTGAGGAAACTATTGCCAGCTTTTCAGCAGCACTCGGATCATATCTGATTCACACCTAATGTCGTCAAAAAGTTTTCGACTTTTCGAAGGAATGTCGTAGACCAGATGAAGCGATGTGGTTATACTAAGAATAAGTTTGTCGTTGTCATTAATATTACTTTTTCGACCGTAGCGTTCATCTGCGACAACTTCTGAAATATAACATAACATGCCCACTTGAAAAATGCATGATTCAAGCCATTACCCGACGACTCTACGGCCGACTGGGAACGCAATTTGGCTGACCCAACAGACTTAATAATTGCTAATGCAAACGGTACACTACATTACATTATACAACTCAATTGTTATTTTATTATACTATGCAGATTTCGCAAGCGTTAACAGCAGCATATACTTGGACTCACCTGATGCAGAATTTCCCGGAAGTACTTGGAAAAGAAAACCCACATAATGAACAAATAAGACAACTATTTGGAGACCAAGGCGGTCATTGAATATTAAACGCGCGGTTGTCGTTAATTATAATGCTTTCAGCAGCCAGTGACTATTTTTCAAGTGACCTTAATTTTACAATTACCAATTTTTTTTTTTTTTGAATTAGCTGTTATATTTGTTTTACAGGCTGAGCAATCAACCGGTGCGCCAAAAAAGGATAATTGATCAAAACGTCTAGCTATTTTTAATAGTTACTTAGGACAACGATATTGTTCACTATGTATTTTTTTTTAGTTCATTTCATTTTTGTTTCTTCCCACATGTATTGCTGTAATATTCCTTGTATATTCTAATAATGTGAACACCGTGTATATATTCGTCCATCACGTCAAAATAAAATACGATAATACACATACTATCCAAAGTGCATTGATTCAATCACTCATACTCTTAAAAAATCATTTTGTTTACTGATCGAAATATCGCCCGTAACACATGAGCAGTGAACTAATCTCTCTTCCAAATACAATCCTGACCCCAGACGTTTTCACATCGAGCATCTGTGATTAATAATAATATCAATTGTTCAATGTCCAGTTTTTGCCAATTTATTGAAACGGCTTTAAAATTAGTCATAAAAGCATTATTTTTATTCACTTTTGAATCACTATAAGTCCAAACGGAAACAAAACAGGAGCTGGTCCCGTGAGCCTCCTCTCAGTCTGTGACATTTATGCATATCGAAGCATTACGTCATCAATGCAAATTACCATTATATACGAGTATACAGTGAATGCATACAACTTAGTAGCAGACACAGATCAAATCAAGATTTCACTTTCTTACATCAAATATATGATAAGTACATCTATTGGGTTTGTTATTGTCATTGATATACTGGTTTTGTATAAAAATATATCAAACAAATAGTTTGAGACAGTAATGGTACATTGCGTTGTTCATTTCAACCCAAGCAGTTAGCCATTTCGCTAGCAAGTTTGCAAATTGGCTGCCCCAATACTTCTGAGACTCGCTGTAATCTTGGTATAACAAGCGAAGTTAGAATTTCTTTATCTGACAATTCCAGACCCTTTAAAGAATCACGATGATTGAGTAAAGGATGTGTTTGATGAAAACTAAATAAAGAATACAACAATTGCAGTTGAAGTGAAGTGGGACGCAACATTTAGCCAATGTATGTCTTTGTTTATATATTATTATATTATAGCATTGTCAATACCAGCGAATTTTATGACGTCATTGCCACAGATTATTCGCGATAATGTATTACATTATTGAGCATCACGGCCCCGCACCATGCATAGGAATATAATGTTGAGTTTGGAAAACAAATAACGAGGGATAATAAGGGAAATTGTGGGGTGAAAATGCAAGAAGATACTATTTGAATTTAGAGCCCCTTCCTGTCAACAATATTGATTTATGGCCCGATAAAATCTATTTTCACCCCTGTTCTATGGTCTTCGTGTAATTATGTGATCGTACGTGAAGGATTTTTCCACACACAAACGGCGAATTCGGCAAATTGTGTTAGCGACTGACTTATTGGATCTTTGGCTGTGAAAGTTTGGTATTTTGTCCTTGATTTGTATAGGAAAGTGAAAAACGTGTTTCTCAACTTGTCTTATTATTAGTTTCGAGCTGTAATCATATGTAAATACTGGTAAATTGATCACTTTTATTTTATTATCACGTGTACGCCAGCTGACTGTGCTTCAATCTTGGAAACAAAGACGTACTACACACCCAATACATGATGAATCTTAATACCCTCCTTGATCACCGAAAAGCTTTAATATCTGCTCATTGTTTGTGTTCACTCTTCCGAGAGTTTGAGGGTGCTTGGCCATCAGATTGCTCCATATGTATTCTGACAAAATTCGTTGTAACGTCTGAAATATATAATATTCATTTTTTTAAGATTACACAAAGCTTCCCAGATCAGAAGGAATATTGCTTTCAGGCCTTTGGTTCATATATCTGTGATACAGCCATATATGGTGATATTACGTGACGTCACAGGAAGCGCTTGTCGCTCAGAGTGTGGGTACTATGAGACATAGTGGGTGAGCTGTGTTGGGTACTACGGGGCGTAGCGGGTGCACTTACTTGTGCTGGGTGAAAACCATCCACTGATTCAAATATATCGGCTGCACTACCACCGTGATTGATGTAATTGTCAATCTCTAGAAAACAAATTAAAAAAACAGTGTTAAAATCGGGATAATAGAAATATTTCCACAAATTACAGCCCATGGCGAGACGCCATCACAGGTGAGCGTGACAAACTCTGTTATCCTCGGGGGCGACATCCGGGCATTTTTACCGCTTGGCAACCCGCGGCGGTGAAAACAAAGGCCCAAAACTCGTAGAAAACAGTACTTTGGGATGATTGTTGAGACTCCCCTGAACAGTGTAACAAGATTAGCCCTACGTGTGTAACATATATAAATTTGGTTGTTCGGGATTACTTCAAAGTTGAGTTTGTGTTGTTTTCTCGAGTTTTCACCGGCTCCACGGCGTTCCACAGCAGCGCGCACAGAGCCCATAGAAATACATGTACAGTGGTGCGCGTCGTAGCAACGTAGAACGTCCTGTGACGTAGCTCCGCCCCCGAGGATAGCAGATGCTTCCAACACAGATTATTTAGCATATGTCAATATAATATAATATAATATGATATAATACCTGCATTTATACCAATAGCGAAGTCCAAATAATAAAGTTTATAATTAGTATAGTTGCTTTTCTCCACCAGGTCTTGCAGAACCCTACTCAACGCCGCACCTCGCTAGTGAATAAACGACAAAACAAAAAATATTAAAGGCACACATACGGGTGGACGATGGACCATTGGACTAGGAGACACACATTTGGGTAAACGTAAATGGCGGACGGACGGATGGATGCATAGACAGGCAATGTCGTACCTCTGATGTGAGATTTCTGAGTGTTTCGTTTGCAGACATCCATCCATTGCAGGGTGATATCTGTAAGCACATTAAATACTCATACACGGTGGCGTAAGTGAGATCCTTACGTAGTTGCCCCAGTGGATGGAACAGGTTGTGCATGTATCGATATACAATGGTACCATCAAACATACCAGTGATTACTAGAGAGCTGCCCTTTGGAAGGACAGTGTCCTGGGGAATAAAGTAAACTCATTGATAATAAGTAATGCGAGAAACAAGGCGTTTTATGTGAATAATTCGTAGACCTTTAGATTTTGCTGTGGACAATCGCCAAGCTTAATATGGTATATTAGCAGAAATATTGAATGCGCATACGATTAAAATTGTCTGTACGTATATGCTAAATTAAAAGAACATTAACAAATCAGTATAAACTAAGACAAAAACGTTGACACAGTCTCACTAGTTCTTACTGTATGTGGTTGCGACACCCCTACCAAATTCGATGACAACAGAAACAAAATAACACTACTAGTACTTTTCCCTTCTCTGAATTGACGAAGCATATAGTAGACACATAGTACTACAGACAGTAAAAAGTATGTCGAGAAATAACACACTACAGACACAGTAGACAGTGAGGTGAGAATTAACAATATCAAAAAAAAAATATTTTTCAACACTCCGTTGTCAATTCATGTTAGTTCAAAAAAATGTAAATAATTCACAAGCTTGTAAGTGGAATCCAGTCTTGAATTTACACTATATCTGAAAATCCAGGAGAATTACGTGCCCCGACCCTCGCGTTTGTTTGTTCTACTGTATTTGGTATATGTACATTTTCGCAATAGAGTCGATGAACAAGTAGTTTGGCATTGACGACACTTGATGAATACTGGTGATAAGACGGAGCTAAAGATGACACTACTGTATCAGAGTGAAGCAAAGTAGAGATGATGTGCTAATCGGAGATTAGTTAATACACATGAACTCTCTGGTTGTGTAAGCGCCAATATAAGTCGCCCTCCGTTTTGGTAATGGGCATGGCATAACATTCCTTGAAGTCTGGTTTATTCAATGTTCTTAGGCAGACACAACAATTGCAAAGTAGTTACTCTGTTTTTTATTTTTCTGAAATAATATTATTGCATTTTCCCACTTGAACAAAACCTGCTGAAAAGACAGCAAGGCACAATTTAATGAAATGAAGCTAACTTTAGTGGTTTATGGTGGTTTTGAAATATAGTTTGGTGAGAGTGTGAAATATTGAACTACTTTTGGAAAGTAATTTTGACATTAATATGTTGCCGTTAAAACAGTTTACACCACACCATGCTGAAAACCTGGCAGTCGATAAGGGACTACTCCGTAGATGCAACTTTTCAATAACAAGGATTTTATATTAGATTGGAATGAAACAAAGGTTCCCCAAAGAACATGTTTTTGAAATGGTACGATATTACATCAGCAGTACCTTCAGGGTTAACGAGAGGTGTGAAATGAAATATTTTGATATTGTGGGACAGGAACAGATGATTGGGGGGGGGGGAGTTTGTTGATTTACATATTCACTTGAATCAATGTACAGAAAAACAGGTTGTTAAGGGTATTGTTTCACAAAGTTTTATTCCCCACGCACGGAGGAGGTAATTTCAGAGAGAGAGAGAGAGAGCATGGCTGGGTTACTATCTACTAATTACCATTCATAATAACAATACACACTAAATTGAAGGAATTTCAATAGAAAATAAACAATTTAATAATGACAAATGTAAAAATAAATACAATTTTTGAAACTGTTATTCAGTTCAGTTGTGTTGGAAGAAGTACTCTATCTGATGAAACAATTCTGTTGGGAGATCCACATGAGTCATTGTTGCTTATTTATTTTTTATTATTAGTAGTAGTTTAGCGTTTTATTTATATTTATTTGTTTTGTTTTTTTCATCTTAAAACCTTTTGTTCGAAATATTCAGAAGACTGAATATGTCATTGCCAACAAAAAAGGGAAATTAAATGCACATATCAAGAAACGGGATAAATTTCTTACTATATTGACTATGTAAAAGTATTTCATATGATTGTTAAGTAAAACTGAAATGTATGTTTTAAGAGACTTGACTCAATAAAAAATGCTTTTGGACGCGTTCAAGTATTGAGATATGAGCAATGTGTTCCTTAGCAACCATTCTGCCATATTTGATTTGATGATAAAGCAAATTTATGTTCATTTGCATAACATTGTATATACGTCTATTATGGCATGTCTGAGAAATGCCCGACAAAAACACAAATGAATAGTCCTCATTTCTGACAGGGACTGATAGTATACATACCAAATAATCCAGTGTGATCAGTGTTTCCTGTCTCATTTCCGCTGGTGTAGTCATGTGAGCAATGGTATCTGGATGCCTATATTATACGAGATAAATAAAGCAAGACTTCCCGATTTATGATTCTACAATGTGTTTCATTATATGGACTCTCAATGTATAATGCCATATCAAGGAACTGTTTAAAAAGCATAGTATTTTGCCAATCGATTACAGAATTTCATATTTTTTAGGTATCGTAATGTATAAGGCAACCAACGGCTTGGCGCCTTTATACTGTAAAAGGGCTAATAATTCACTGGGTTTTAATTTTGCTCATTTTGCTGACTGGAAAATGCGCTAAATTAAAATCCAGTAAAAATTTAGCATAGAACACATTATCTTAATGATAAAACCGTGAATTTAAAACTCACTGAATATGCCTGAAATGGTAAATCAGCGAAATTTAAACCAAGTGAAAATTAGTAATTTTACAGTATATAAGCGAAATGTTCAGTCCTATCTCCCAAACCCACAAGTATAGTACACGTTCCTCTCTTAAACATAATTTATGCATTACTAAATGGAAAACAGCCATGGGCCAGAGGACGTTTCGGTATAGAGGGGTAACCCTATGGAATAACTTACCACCCCATATCAGAAATTCAGCCACATTATGCATTTTTTTTTAAACTTACAAAATTATATCTTAGTGGAAAATTTGTTGTAAATGGCTCATGCCTATAGTGTGTATATAGTGTATTTTTTTCCTACAGAGGGTCCAATGAAAATTACTTTATTGTATATTGGCCTACCCTCTTTAAATAAAGTGTTAAATAATTGAATAAAAATCACTCTCACCCATTGCACACATCATTGGCCACCAATGAGTAGATGGCTAATACCGGGTAATCTTTTTGCTGGTTCCGGGATAAACTGGAAACAAAATATAGAATTCAATAACTTATGTAAAAACAGCTACTTATGTGTATTAATGAATTACTGAATCTGTGTTTGGTCATCATAGAGGTCAGTAGGTGTGAGCTAAATCACTCAGGCCCATAACATGGTCCTGTTTTAGTTTCCATCTGCTAAGCGTATAATAACACAATGGCTCACCTTTTCACAATTGTGTTCATGTTGCCGCACGCCCCACCTGTCAATAACGAAAAACATGTTGCTGTATTAAATTTTGTGTTCAGATGGTAGTTCGAACGACGCCAACTGGCGACTAACAACAGATACACATGTAAACAATAACAGAGCCAAAGCCAAAGAGGAGCCAGAGAATGTTCGATAGTTTCACGCATGAATGAGTTAGTTAGACAGTGGCGGCGGTACATGGAGGCAGAGAGGGCGATCGCCCCTTCGTAAAAAAATGTTAGGGGGGGGCTGAAACACTATGTGTCAGCAAAATTTGGCCCTAAAAATACAGGAAATAGCTTTTCAGAAGGTCCAGATTACAAAGTTTGTTCAGGGGGAGCATGCCCCCGGACCCCCTAGTAAGGTCGAGCCTTCGACGCGAGGTTGGTGAGCAGATCTCGTCCCCATGCAGAATGTTGTGCCGCCGCTTATGTTAGAATGGAGTTGTTCTCAAGTGCATAGACTCACCGTTAACTGCTATGCTCTGATAATCACGATGATTGCACAAATTTCTCTGACGTAATCTTTGATACAAGGAGTCAGTCCAACCACTGAAGACAGAAATAACACAATGTCAAAGTTCCCATATATCAAGTTTTCTCATGCACCCAAGGGAACGATACGAAACTGGGGCAAATTTTTTCCCAAGAAAAATGGAATGCAAGAATGATAAAAACTTAAAGAATACCATTTTAAATAAAACTGCTCCAATTGTTAGGTGTTTCGGCCCTCCAGCGCACAACAATGATTATGTTTTATACTTAGTCTACTGAAAACCCATAATTATGCACAAATATGCGAAAAATCTAGATATAAATTTAAATCTTACACAAAAATCACGAATTACCGAAGTTCACGGATACACTTTTACACCCTTCTCTTAGCAAACAGCATCATAAAGAAATATTAGATGACTCAAAGGATTTCAGATCGTGCACCGTTTCTTGGGCGCTTTTTGGTATCAATTTAGTGTCGTTCAGCAAAGTGTGTTGTACACATACCATTAGTACGATGATGAGTGATATAAAAGCGTGTAAAGAAATTCGTCCAAGCTTGTATAAAAAGACGAATTACTACGGTCCACACGACACCAATGATGCGAATATATCAACCAAATCAGAATGTTAATTTTGTAATGGTCACCCACGAAAATAAATGTAGTTCGCGCTTCGGACTTACTGAATTATCGGCATAGTCAAATTTTGAAACCCTGTTTAGAGAAAAAAAGAAATAAACAATTAGGTAGAAGCAGTAAAAAATGATTAAACCAGCAGTTATTTACTTATTTATCCGGTGACGTAAATACGAAATGCATACGTATTATCTCATTCAGGTGGGTAATTAATTATGACAAGATAAAACTAGTTGTTAAATGTTAGTCTCGTTTTGCAAAAGCTTTAGAAATAACATATATCACGGTTTCCTAACCGTTCTTCTAGTAACCGTGCATATACTGATACACGACAGATGTTTAAAATATTTTGCGGCGTGGCCAATATGGGCCATGGTTGTGGAGATTGGGCGGCAAATTTCCGCCCAATAGTATCAAGCCGGGTTCGCCTCACCTGTTACTGCTGACATAGATGGCCAATCAAGCTCATTGCCAGCCACGAACGTCACGTTAAGGAACATTTCCTGAAAATAAAATGAAATAAAATAATATACACTGAGTGACGTTATATTACAAGCAACTGTTATTACGAAAGAAGTGGTGACGTACCATGTTCAAAATAGAGGGCGTAAACCATTCTCCGGGAATATGGAAATGGGCAGCTCCCGAATCTCCGAGTACGACAATACCCATCGGGTCGGAATCAGCGCACAGTAGTTGCTCATATGGCTTGCTACTAACAGGATCGATACCCTAATAGAAGAGATATACAGGTCCGTTCAAATAAATTCAAACTACAGCACATTTTTAATGAAACCCAGTCTGATCTGACATAAATCCTGGTACGGTATCCCTCGACCAATGCTCCGGGTACTGCACTTCTCACCGTACGCACCGCGCACGGGCACCCCTCGCCCAATGCTCCGGGGAATGGCACCCCCCGTCGTATGCCCCGGGGTATGGTATCCCTCGACCAAAGTTCCGGGTATGGTACCCCTCGCCCAAAGCTCCGGGTCTGGTACCCCTCGCCCAATGCTCGGGTATGACACCCTTCGCCCAACTCTCATTCTTGAGAGCATTAGAGATACTACTATACGGTATATTGGAATAGGTTCATTAACTATGGTCCAAACGTTACAGCCCGGTTAAGGTAGAAGCCTACCCACAAATGAAAATACCCATAATTTAGTCATTTTGCATAATTTTAATTATGCTTGTATTTTCGTGGATAGTTACCATTTTGGCAGTATCATAACGCTTTTGCCATAGGTTCTACAGATATTATGCCATATCTCAAATTGTAGGCTGGCGAATGGACTGAAAAAATCATATATTGTTAATGATGGTGTACTTTTAAAAATGTAGATTTTAAAAAGAGTCGAAAATGCAACTGTTCTTTAACATTGTGTTTTATGGATTTGTAGGGACGAGTTTCTCAAAAAAAACGTCAATGTAACACACAAATAATAGCTCCACGATTTTACATAAAAAGCCAATGAACATTATCATGCGATTTATGTCCAGTTTTTCAAAAATTGTGAGATGGCTTCTACCTTAACGAACAAAACATACGTGAAACATGATTCACATTTAAATAGCCCAAAACGGCGACAACCTGATAAAGGCAAAATTGGTCATCGTGTCATTATAACCTTTTTTTTCAGAATACGTGTACTCATATTTTTCACAGTGACATTTCCCTCCATTGAGCCACACTGCGCATACTCACATTCTTCCCAGTGATTTAGAGCTGGACTGTGCAGGTCTCATGCCACTAATCAACCAATGGCTGCTTAATTTAAATGCCTAGCAAGAACCAATGACATTTTTTAAATATTTTTTTTCTCAGGTGCTCCCTTTTTGAGGGCGTAATCACCTGAGTCAGAGGTGAGACCAACATGTGGTCTTTTGTTTACTACTTAGCGGCTGTGTACCTGTGGGTTTATTCTGCGTGTATTTGGATGTTCTAATCTTGGTGTTTTTCCAGTGATTTCTCTTGGTGCAATCCAAATACAGTAGGTGTGTCTTGTTTACCTGAGATTTGCAAGACTTTGAGCTGGCCAACATGTTAGTTTTTTTCATATGGTTGATTACTGGCATGTTGATTTCCCATTTTTTAGCCATATTTTCAACTTTCTTCGTCATTTTCATATAGCAATCTCGTCATATGTTAACATTGTCGTCTATGGAAATTCAATTAGTGGTATGAGCCCTGCATACCCGCATTCTTGACAGTAAATCGCCAAGGTTTTAAGCAAGGCTGATACTTGTACAATTCTGTGGCACGCATTGGCATGACTCGAGTCGTGTCGGTGCGCAAACTAGTCGTAAACAGGCGTAAACCCGCCGTGACTGTGTGCCATGTCGGGCGAGAATTTTGAAATGTTCAAAATTTTGGTCACGGCAAAATTTAGCGACCGGGTCGTGAACTATGCACAAACTATTCGCGAAGTCGTCGTGCCAGTTCGTGTCAATGTGGACACTGATGGGCACGCATTCGTGAACTATTCGTGAACTATGCGTGAACAGTACGGGAGTCTCCCAGTTCGTGCCCCAAAATGGCACGACTTGCCACGACAAAATCGTGGCCAAAAGTGGTGCAAGTGTCAACCTTGCTTTACATGAAGCACATACCCACATTGACCACAGCGATGTAATGCACATACTGTACTCACGTAAATACCGTTGCAGTTGGAGTCTTCATATCGATCCCAGTCCTCAGGTCTAACAAATCAAATAAAATAAGAAAAAGTATCAAAATATGTTGTTGATATAGAGACAATGGTAGGGTTTTTACCTTTCAGCGACTAATTATTGAACATCCGGGATATCGTGTGCGTCGTTACCTTGCTCCAGGGTGCAGAGCTGCTCGGCGATCGTCACAGTCTTTTCCGCGCCACGACGTCCCACGCAGCACCTGGAATTGTTCCATCAAACACAGTTTGGTATCACATGATATTTTTGTCTGACTACATCATCAAATTCTCCATTTTGTTCATTATATTTCATATCTCTGTGTGACCCCGTAAAAAATGCTTGATATATTCAAAGGTAATATACAATATACTAGTACATACACATGGTTGCATTGCATACTCACATCTAAAGTACTGTACCCGTCTCCGTCAAAGTCAACTTTTGGCATATATTCACCAGGCCCCGCATGTGGAAGTCTTCGATGAAAAACAAAACATTACTCGTCAAACAATTCGTAACACTGTACGCGCTATTTGCACTATAGAAACATTCTTCCATGTCCGGAATATCGCCATGTACGGTGACGTCAGCAATATCGCCATGTACGATGACGTCAGCAATATCGCCATGCACAGTGACGACCGCAATGGCGTTCGAAATATCGCCAAGTACATGATGGCGTCCGCGATATCGATATGCACAGGCTAGGGACGTCCGCAATATCGCCATAAACAATCACTGGCGGATCCAGAAATTCGGTAAGGGGGACGCTCCTATTGACGTGGGCCGGGTTTGTCAATTGATTTTTTTGCGGGCTGAAATATCCCATGCACGGTGACGACCGAAATATCCCATGTACAGTGAAGTCCGAAATATTGCCATGTGCAATGGCGTCCGAAATATTGCCATGTGCAATGGCGTCCGAAATATTACCATGTGCAATGGGTTCGAAATATTACCATGTGCAATGGGTCCGAAATATTGCCATCTACAATGGCGTCCGAAATATTGCCAAGTACATTGGCGTCCGAAATATCGCCATGTACAGTGGCGTCCGAAATATTGCTAAGTACAATGGCGTCCGCAATATCACTTCGCATAGTGACATCCGCAATATCATCCGGCACAGTGGCGTCCAAAATATTGTCAATTAAAATGGCGTCCACGATACCGGATGTCGTTAAATTCTTACCTGTCAGCTAATTTACATATTTGTTTTAATCCTGGTAACATGCCACAAATGTCGATATCTGCAATCTCCTGTAAAGTTACGAGGATAAATCAAAATTAAACATTATCAATTAGCAATACATCAGTTTCAAAGTTCAGTCACATATTTAAGGGAGACACTCACACATTTGGCATCGATTTCAATGTGCCATTTGTTTAACAGGTAGTCAAATGGGCAATTTGATCATATTTTAAATGGCGTTAAGTTCATATTCCGTTTTGTCCGAAAAATAAAATTCATCCATTTTCGAATAAATCAAATATGGGAGATCATCCGACAAGATTATAATCACAAATTCATTTTAACTACACCCAAGAGTTATTTGTAGGTTGTTCAAAGTCTTGCGATCACAGGCAACATCTAGGCTAGTAATGATGTCATAGGTAGAGTGACGACATGAATTTATTTCTCTCCTTCTTGTTAATATGACAGCTTTGTGCCAATTATCGTGTTTGGCATTATGATTACGCTAAAGGGTTAGGTAGATGTACTGTATATCAATCTAAATACCAAGACATGTATTTCCCCGAATGGTTTTTAATATAAATCTAAATAGTGGCCAAATCATCAAACTCAAATGTTCAAATCGTTTTTTTTTTACGAGGGCAGGGCCTTGTCTCAGAGACGCATCTGTGAGCATCGCGTCATCCCAGAGACACATCTTGTGGACAGCGCATTCTTTCAGAGACACTTTTTATAATACCTTCAATTTGTCGGAGTATTTCGTCATTATTTTGCTTCTATGAGCATCAACATGGAATCCATTTTTGGGTTTAGGATACATGTGGCATGTCGGGTTAGGTGGTTCTGTCTTGCATACTTGTAATGCTTGGCAAACAGTGTCTGGATTTTCTCCATTAGCTAAGCTGTGGGAAATAACAGAGTGCCATGTGTTATATAATTGCAAGTTACAAATAAACAAAAAACAAACAAACAAACAAGCAGATAAATAAATAAATGAATGAATACTTTTCCATCTATCAAGTACTCACAGGTCTATAATTATAGGTCCGGCTAAACTGACGAATTCTTTACATACACTTTTGTAATCATCTGAAAATACAATTACAACATACAGTAAATAAAAATGAAATACAAGAAATATCGACATTTTATACAGCTGACAACAAGAATCAGTTTTACCGGCGTTTGATTCAAGGACCAATAGATTATATTTGAGGGAGATCTGAATCCGGTTGCCATGGAAACAACAATTTTGGGAATGATTCTGTGTTGATAACTAAACAATTAAGAATGCATTTATTTTCAGGGAGGGGTTGCTCTTAAAATAAAGACCAATTATTTTGAATTTGGGAGAGATCTGGGTCTCGTCACCATAGAAACAAAACTGACCTGTATGATTATTCATTGCCAGTTTTGGTAGGAGGGGTGGTCTTCAAACGTAAACTAATCGATTAGATTTTAAGACAATCTGGTTGAAACGGAGACAGACATTTTTTTTGATAGATTATACACCATTGCCTGATAAGATCTTTCTCTGTTTCGTCGAGTGAATTACAATTACAGGTACATATTCGAATGAGCTGATAAATACTTACACACGCATTTAAACATGAACACGGGAATCAATCTCCCAGCACGGGTAATGCGCCTCATGACTGTAAGTTTACTACTATTCAATCTCAATTCAATGTGATATTCGTAAGAATAAGTAATTTGCTACTGATGTGCGGGATTTAATATTTATTGGTGAACACACTTTGCATTAGACATGGTAGGGACAAGAGTCACTGGCCCTCTCTTTTAGAAGATAACTTACCAAATAAGATGTGTTTGGCCAAGCATTATGAAATAAACAGAGAATTTGAGCTCTCGTTTTTCTAGAAACTAAATAAAGAACAGTTTGAATTGTTTATATTCTGAACTAATTCTTCGAAATATAAACTTGGGCGAGCATGGCAAACTGTCAATAAGTCCTCAAATCGAGTGTCTCAGTGGCATTTCTATACAACTGTATATAGCACGAATTGAATCACAATAGACCTTACTTTTGACTCCAAAACGTAACTAACTATTTGGGGGTTATTGTTCCCATATGACGATAATAATTTCTGATATTATACAATGATTGATGCCATTCTGTTCTGAGAGGGTATAATGGAGAATTTTTCATTCATATTTACAGTGAAATTGTATCCCAGTATGTGTGACATTTTGGAGGTCATGCATAAGCCCTTTTAAAGACGTTGACTAAATACCTGGTAGAAATGAACACAGTCGCTGCATTGCTTTGTCGATTCCCTCGGTGTGTACCAAAGCCAGCTGGTCGACAAGACTCACACTAGCCGTACAGGCTGCACATACAAACAACGCCACATAATTTATAAAATAAAATAAAATAAAACAAAAATAAACCTCGTACTACTTAAATGCAAAATCAGAGTACACAGAATTGAGGTAAATAAACTAAATATAGTAGTATTTGTTTGTCACCAGTGACCTGGCGTGATACGCGCGCGCACTTTTGATTATTAGTACGTACCAGTAATTCGTAGCGCAAACGCATTTACGTATTTAAAACATTAAGAAATCTCTGATGACTGCGATTTGAAATTATTATCTTAAAGTTTATATTATAACACATTGCTTGTAATATTATGCAATATCAAACACAGATAATATCCAAAGTCATTATATTACCTCCACATTTACATCTTCACCAGCCGAGGCCTGTATATTTGGCAACTCACTAACAGTCTATGGGGTCAATCAATGACCACCGGAAGTCGTGCGATGTTGATGATCGATTCAATGATATGTTTACAGGGGCGTGCTATTTCGCATTTTATTTAGTAACAGTTCCATTGGATGAATATTTGAGTAATTTAACAAAATGAATCTTTACAATCACAATCGATAGCTGACCGAGTCATAGCATACGTCAACATCCCGATAGTCCCCTGACAAATCACTTACCGATACAACTTGTTCCACCATTTACACTCGAATACACAGCCACTGGACTGGCTACTAGAAGTAGTAACATCGCGACATACATAGTGGAATTCATACATGCACGGACTTTAATAACTGTCTTATAAATGTCCCCTGCTCGACTGCTCAAACACGCGACCTTTGCACGGGTTTTTGTCACATTTGTAAATCTAAAAGATAATCTCCACGGCGTCTACGTGCTCACATGTCTGTCATATAAAATGTTGTATTCAAATTTATCTTACATTACGTTGATTATATGCTATATTATATAAGTTAGAAAATCATACACGGACCCTGTATAGTAATAGTATGATACTAAATACACAATTATTTGGCAGTTGATATTGCCAGTAACCCAGAGCCCCTTCCACACAACCTTATGCACGATTTATCGGCCATTTCGATGATTAATGTTGCAAGCCATGTGATTTGGATTTACTGACGACATGACAAGTTCCATGTTTTTTTTCCAAACTGTTTTATGTTCAAGCACAAGCAGAAAACAAACACAATGCTTCAACTTTAAACATTCGACTGTACATGTTTAACAAGTGTTTATGTACGAGACATGTACACAAGCTCGGAGTATTACTTAAACTCTTTTCTCGAAAAACAGTTTTATTTTGAATTCTTTCAAAACATGCATGTATACACTGTAAAGCACTTTAATGTTTTATAAATAAAACACACTGTTTAAATTAAAAACATGTGAATTATATTAATATGCATTTTAACCAAAACAGTAGAGTTGTAAAACAACTCATTTGCGATTAAAAAACACTTAATGTGTTTAATTATAAAACACTTAAAATAATTCTAATGTGTGGACAAAAATGAGTCCAATTTTAAAACACTCGCATTTACAGTGTACGACTATAAGTAAAAGGAACGAGTCGGTTGAAGTATACGAGTCAATATACGATGCGATGGTGAAGTATCTACACTAATGTTCAGCGTGTGGGTCAATTTCTGGCAGTTTTATTATCAAATCAAAGATACAATTGGAGAAATTTGAATAAATGATTACGTAAATTAAACCACGATTAGTGTACATCAAATAAAGGAACAAATAAAAGCAAATTGTGTAGCATTGTGTAAAAAATGAAATTGGTTCAGAAAAATCTAATTCAGAGTAAATTAATTAATTTATAATTAATTACAACATTAAGAACATATGCCAAATAAAAAAAATATAAAAAAAGAATTGTAAATAGAGAAATACTAAATTTAAAGCGGGAGGGTCGTCATCCCGTATGCACACCACACGCGAAAAACGCCAAGGCACCTGAGTTGACGTTTGTTTGTAAACAATGACACGCTATGTCCATCTGACGCATGCGCAAGTAACGACTCGCCCCTTCAAGTAAGCTCAGATTAGTGATAACAATACAATTTATTTATTTATTTATTTATTTATACCATATGTTGTAAGTAAGCTGTGATCACGATCCAATGATAGAGAAACGTCGACAAGACTACAAATATGAGAGTTCTGTAGAAAACTTCACTTTATGATTGACTGTAAAAAAAGTAAACAAGTGCCAGATTGTTAATAACCCCATATCCTACACATATAATAATAACGCCTTTCGTGACCACCATCGTTTATGAAAAATACCTCAAATTAATTGTTTTTCAATTTTATTTTGTTCACATTGTGCTGTATTGAAGATAGGCATAAAGACTGCGTCTCGTGTTTTTTCTTTATCTGCTCACAAAATTTAAACTGCTCACAAAAACCACATTCCAGAATGAATGTGGAGCCGGAAATCTCGCAAAGCGTAACATCATATTTAGATTTCAGACGAAAAGATTGGTAACCATTATGTATCAATCATTTTACAATTTTCTACCTACTTGTTAAAACAAAACTGATGCAAAGCAACTGTACAATGTAGATGGCATTATAACTATGTTAGACAATGTATGGTTGACGACATATTTGTCAAGTTTAATTTGGTAATATAGTTTTCAATACCCTGTCAACATTTCAATGGAGACTTATTGTGCTATACGACAACCGAGGTGGCTCACAATATGGCATTTTATAAAACTATTTATACAAATCATTTACATTTTGAAAATTCATTTTTATAACATAATCCCTTTTTGATAACCATTATCGGTACTGAAGCCGATTTTTATTACCCACTTTAGTTTCATTGAACTGTTTTTATTTAAAAAAGCAACTGTTTAAATCCATTTTCGTTTTAAAAATCCATTTTAATTTTTTTTTTAATCAGTTTTCATTACATTTTTCAGAATATGGGAATAATATTAAGACAGACTTAGCAATGGAACAAGTCAACAAAACAGAGAAAGCAATAGCAAGAGTAACCTTGATTGCTGACACATAGGAAATCTTCAAGGTGCAGCAAATGTTTGTCAGAAGTAGAAAGTCAATGTGTAAAAGATGTATTGCGCACTCTGAGGCCATTCCATTACAGTGAAGGAAGAAAGTACCATGTCATTAAAAAAGTGACAATGTCAGCATTTTACAATATTGAAGACTTGGATACACTCATGAGGCAAGTGATAGTGCGCCTATGTAGAAGGTCCAGTAATTTCAGTGGATAATGAGGAGGAAAAAGACTCTGAAATCGACAGTTTACCATATATCTAAACTTCAATTGCTTGCAACAAAAACTTCTACAGTGGCTGATATAGTGCAACAGATATAGTGTACATTCTGTGACTCATATCCTGTAGGTGACTGATATAGTGTACCTCATGCGGTTCATATCCTGTAGTTGACTGACATGGTGTACCTTCTGTGGCTTATATCCTGTAGTTGACTGACATGGTGTACCTTCTGTAGCTTATATCCTGTAGTTGACTGACATAGTGTACCTTCTGTGGCTTATATCCTGTAGTTGACTGATATAGTGTACCTCATGCGGTTCATATCCTGTAGTTGACTGACATGGTGTACCTTATGTGGCTCATATCCTGTAGTT